TGCAAAACATTTTACCGAAAGATTATCAGTAGGGAATGTGCATGTGTTTCACCTATGTGTGTGAGGGGGATTCTTGCTGTAATGGAGCATTGTAATGAAACGGAAGTAACAAAGAACAATGCTGCCTTGATACAGTAGGTGGCGATAATTCTCGTCTACTCTATTTGGAAGTCGCCATTAAAGAAGAAGAATGAAACAGAAGGTCCAATTCAGCATGGATTTATAGAGAAACAGCACCGCAGCCGTAGGCTGGACCCTGAACCGAGCAGTCTACAAACTGAGACGGTCTGGTCTATGGAGGTGTTCTTGTTTACATCACCTGGCGCAGCTCGTGAGTTGGCCTAGCAACCCGCTAGCAACATGCACAGCTGCAATAAGCTAACAAGCTAACTAAACCTAAATTGAGCCAGAACCTTTTCTTTTTTGTTTTGCCATTTATTGAAGTGATTGATATGTCAGGCTGAGAGGACAATGGCCGATTGATGCAATGATTGATTGCAATGATTGATTGCAATGGTTGATTAAGCTGTGTACTTCTAGCCAACAGATATGTCAGCATTAGTTAGTTAACAGTAGGCTAAGTAAATATAGGAGTAACCAGCGACGTGCAGTCAGGGGAGGCAGGGGAGGCAGAGCCTCACCTGTCATACTCCAATGTAACGGAAAAACAACTAAAGAAAAAGTAAATAGTAATAATAATAAAATGTCTCCACTGATCTGTGTTGTAAATGTGATTTATGTATGATTCCAATCGCTTGTTATAGTCAAAATCAGCAAATTTGCAGAGCTCCGCTACAACTACGGGTAGCGATGAGAAGTGAGGCAGGGACGAGCTCTGCCTCTCGTAAGCCCACATTAACTTGCTGGAACGCGGGCACTAATTTAACGCGGGCACTTATTTTGTGAGCGCGCCCAAGCCAGTTACTGTGGGGTAAGGTGAGGCCCAGATGAGATCTGCCTCACCTCAGAATGCGTCACCACACAGAAACTGGCTGGAAAGCGGGCCCTAAGCGCATGCCTTCACCATCTCACTGTATGTCACCAATGTAATGTTTGTAGATCCCTTTATTACATTTATCCTCGGCATCCATAGTCTCTAAATAACTTATTTCACGTATATATGATATTTAGGCTCGCTGGTCTCATCATACAACGGCAATGAAAAAAGCACCAGGGGAGGCAGCCACAACCTCTGCCGCACTTAAGGGAGTGCACGTGAGCCCACAGGTTCTTGTTGCTACTGTTATTCTACGCAGAGACGGTAGACGCAAACAACAAACAAGACTTTTGAAACTACAGGAAGATAAGGAGGACTTTTACAAAAAAGTAATAGAGATTATTGTCCAGAAGGATAGCATGGACTTCATCTTCAAGACCACAATTGTAATGAAAATGGGATCTTACTAGGAAAGAACAATCCAATATTTACATGTTGGGTATCCTTTTGTTGAACGGTCTGTTTAAAATGAATCGAAGCATCAGACTAAAAAAGCTTTTGAAAATAACCGAATATTTCGATTAAGGTGAAAATATAATATTTGTAAATCTGACTCTGAAAGAGTCAGTGCCTCACCAGCCACGAACCTCACCGCACGTCACTGGGAGTAACCAATGTACTCAAGCCTGATCCAAATAATGCTAACCTATGTTTGTTGCTCCTGGTCTGCACTTTTTACGTTACTACGAACATGAAACTATTCAGCAAAACGTTCATTAATAATCAAAATTATTGAGTTTTTGGGATAATACTCGAACCTCCTGGTGGACACCGGTGGTCAGGGAAGCCGTCCGACTGAAGAAGGAGGCCTTCAGGGATTTGTTTTCCCGGGGGACTCCCGAGGCAGTTGCAAGGTACCAACAGGCCCGAAGGGCAGCAGCCTCATCCGTGGCCGAGTCAAAGCAGCGGGTGTGGGAGAAGTTCGGAGAAGACATGGAAAAGGACTTTCGGGCGGCACCAAAGTTGTTCTGGAAAACTGTCCGACACCTCAGGAGGGGGAAGCAGGGAACCATCCAAGCTGTGTACAGTAAGGATGGGACGTTGTTGACCTCAACTGATGGAGTGTTAGGGCGTTGGAAGGAACACTTTGAGGAACTTCTGAACCCGACAACTCCGCCCTCTATGTTAGAGGCAGAGCTGGAGTATGACGGGGGATCAACACCAATCTCCCGGGGGGAGGTCACTGAGGTCGTTAAACAACTCCACAGTGGCAAAGCCCCGGGGTGGATGAGATCCGCCCAGAAATGCTGAAGGCTCTGGGTGTTGAGGGACTGTCATGGTTGACACGTCTCATCAACGATGCGTGGGAGTCGGAAACAGTACCGAAGGAGTGGCAGACCGGGGTGGTGGTTCCCCTTTTAAAAAAGGGGGGTCAGAGGGTGTGTGCCAATTACAGAGGCATCACACTACTCAGCCTCCCCGGGAAAGTTTACTCTAAGGCAGTGGTTCTCAAATGGGGGTACGCGGACCCCTAGGGGTACGTTGGAGTACTGCAGGGGGTACGTGAGATTTATTTTATGTTAATGAAAAAAACAACATAAGTAATGCATTTAAACAAACTACTAATAGTAGATTAACTACTTTATTCAAAGGTTTACAGTAATTCTGGATAATAAAATGGGAAAATAAACGGGGTGCTCTTTTTTCCTCTCCCTCTCCTGACAGCCCGTCAGTCTCGTGCAGCTCGCTGAACCTGTAATAAGTGACCCGACAGTAAAGAATAAATATATTTATAACTAGTTTAGCTAGTTCCAGAGTAGATAAACTAGCTAAGTGTGTTAGGTCTAACTCAGTGTATTTAATTTTGTTCCACTCAACGGTCCGTCACAGCGGCGGAGCTGTGATCATGCAGAGCTGCGTGTTCTCCGTCAGCAGCAGCTGATCTGATCTCTGATCTCTCTCTCGCGTCCGGTTAGACTTCACTCGCTTTTATGTCCAAATCGATCAGATCTAGCTAGTTCTAGTTAATGATATGACTGCCTGCTTATCAAAGGACACCTAAACAATAAGCATTGCTTGGCAACGGCGTGTGGCCGCAGAGTATAGCGCAGCATTATGCATAATGTTTATATGAGGGGTCAAAATCCCATGCTCATAAAATGCTCTTATATTTTTTTCTCTTCATTCCCCACGCCCCAAAATAAATAAATATACCAATTTTAGAAAAAGTAAGGAAGTTTGAGCATTGTGGGTTTTATATTAACAGAGTTACACATATTTCAAAACGCGAAGTGTAATAACTGAAGGTTGCCTCCCTGTCAGAATGACAAAGATCCTCAGTGAAGCATAAGCCCATGTTTCTCACTAGATTGTAAGTACAACTTATTAAAAAGATCAGTTCAATGCAACTAATGTCGTCTTAGTGTTATTGCATGATGTTAAAATTGGTTTGCCATGAATTTAGTGATTGATTGTAAACATTTGAAATGTAGCATTTAAGTGTTTCTCAGTTACAATGTTGTTGTTTTAATAAATCAGACAATGATGGTGCAGCACTGTGCTGTACCTCTTTATATAGGCATTTTTTCCGTAACAAATAGTTTTTGCGCTGATCAGGGGGTACTTGGGAGTACGCTTATCCGGTTTACATGTGTTTTGTAGACTTGGAGAAGGCGTATGACCGAGTTCCCAGGGAGTTACTGTGGGAGGTGCTGCGGGAGTATGGGGTGAGGGGGTCTCTACTCAGGGCCATCCAATCTCTGTACTCCCAAATTGAGAGCTGTGTCCGGATCCTCGGCAGTAAGTCGGACCCATTTCCGGTGAGGGTTGGCCTCCGCCAGGGCTGCGCTTTGTCACCAATCCTGTTTGTAATATACATTGATCGGATTTCGAGGCGTAGTCATGGGGGAGGGGGTCTGCAGTTCGGTGGACTAAGGATTGCACCACTGCTTTTTGCAGATGATGTGGTTCTAATGGCTTGATCAGTCTGCAACCTTCAGCACTCACTGGATCGGTTCGCAACCGAGTGTGAAGCGGCTGGGATGAGGATCAGCACCTCCAAATCTGAGGCCATGGTTCTCAGCAGGAAACCGATGGACTGTCCACTCCAAATAGGGAATGAGTCCTTACCCCAAGTGAAGGAGTTCAAGTATCTTGGGGTCTTGTTCTCGAGTGAGGGAACAATGGAGCGTGAGATGGGCCGGAGAATCGGAGCAGCGGGAGCGGTACTGCAATCACTTTACCGCACCGTTGTGATGAAAAGGGAGCTGAGCCAGAAGGCAAAGCTCTCTGTCTACCGGGCCATTTTCGTTCCTACCCTCACCTATGGTCATGAAGGATGGGTCATGACCGAAAGAACGAGATCGCGGAAACAAGCGGCCGAGATGGGTTTTCTCTGCAGGGTGGCTGGTGTCTCCCTTAGGGATAAGGTGAGAAGTTCGGTCATCCGGGAGGGACTCAGAGTTGAACCGCTCCTCCTTCGCGTCGAAAGGAGCCAGTTGAGGTGGTTCGGGCACCTAGTTAGGATGCCACCTGGGCGCCTCCCTAGGGAGGTGTTCCAGGCACGTCCAGCTGGGAAGAGACCAAGGGGTAGACCTAGGACCAGGTCGAGGGATTATATGTCTTCGCTGGCCTGGGAGCGCCTTGGGATCCCCCAGTCTGAGCTGGTTGATGTGGCCAGGGAAAAGAAAGTTTGGGGCTCTCTGCTGGAACTGCTACCCCCGCGACCCGACCACGGATAAGCGGGAGAAGATGGATGGATGGATGGATGGGATAATACTTGCATACAAATCTATAAATGCCTTCAGGTTTCTAAAATATATAATATGTGGTAAATTCAACTGTGGATCCAGCAAAGATTCGCATTTTTGCTTGATTTTAGTTATTGATTTTTTGCTGTCACTTAATTTATACTTTTAATAATACTTACCTGTGTGCCTCCTCTGCAACCAGACTGTATTTAAACTCTTAAGTACCAGTTATATCTACTTGAAACAATAAATAATAAACTACATTTATTGGTATATCAATCTTTATTTTTGGGGCCTCTTCTTTTAAATTAAACTTTCCGTCATTAAAATACAGTAATAGTATTGTTTATTTAAAATTAAAATAAACTGAGCCACTTATAACACAAGCATTTATTACACAAATGTTCCCCTCTCATATTCACAGTGTGGATCAATTGAGACAGCGTGGTATCCAGAGAGCTGCAGAGACTTTGGGAGGAACCTCAGTGTGATGGATGTCCTGTCTGTGGGTTTGGCCGGAGAAGACTGAGGTGGAGCGGTCTTTCTCTGGGAGGAGGACCAGGCCTGATGAAGAAAACCACCAAACTGCATAAGTGAGCCCATACTGTTCATACAACTTTCACAAACAAATGATGGTCCTGTTTGACTACACACTATTCAGTGTGCAGATCCTTGTGTTCACAATAAAAGTGTAGTTTCTAAGTGAATGTCCTGTATTGGTCTTTAATCTCATATCAGCTTTTCATTTTCTTCTTGCTCCTCGGAGAAAACGGTGTGGCAGTTGTGTCCTTCAGGTATGTCCTTTCCTAACAGAAATGACAAGAAACATAAAACCTAATTATTGCAGAGCAAGTGTGTTATTTATGAAAGAGGTTTGTTTATTAAGCGGCTGTAGAACTAATATATCTTTTATTTTAATGTGTTTTTTAAATTCATCACCTTGTACGACAAAGATCATCAGATTATGAATGAACAGTCTGCAGTTAATCAACATTAAAATATATGTTATTATTAAAATAATATTCAACTGTTATCAGAACTTAGTGTAAATGTAGTATCATGCTGTTCGGTTGTCTCACTGCAAGAACCACTTTTACCATGTCTTTTACAGACATTATGTAGAGACAAATGGTAGCTATTCTCACAATATAACATAATAATTGCCTTCAATACATTGAAATGTGAAAGCTGACAAAAAAATCATGTTGCTTAGTAAAATCGAAAGTAACTTTTTACAAGCAAGGAACACTCAACTTCTCTGATGTCAGTATTTAGTAATGTTTAATGGAATGTATATCAGTGTATTATAGTTGTTACTTTATCTATTTAAACCAGAACGTCTCTCGATTATTTGTACAGTATGAAAGGGGTCTTTGTACCTTTGACTCCATGATGAAGTTCACTGCTTTTAGGAATATAGGTCTGTCTCTCGTGTTCAGCATCCTCTGGTCTGTCTGCATCACCTGGAAACTTTAAACAAACAGATATACAGTATATACATACAGTGGGGCAAAAAAGTATATATATATGTAAAGTAACATGTGTTGGTCACAGACTTTTTTACATGCAAACGTCATGTCATAATTTGTTTGTTATCCTGATACAAAGTGCTGGATATCACAGCCCTTACTGTATCTTATCAGTTGGATTGTGTATTATTGTATAGTTGGGGTCCTTTTTATTTTACTGTTATTTTGGAATCTCTTTTCATGAGACATTCAAATTATATATTTGTCCTATGCCATATTCACATTCATTTGTAACACACACGTTAGGGTAAAAGACAAACATCTTTAACACATAACGTCATATCTAATATTTAAACAAATCATTTCCTTGTCCCTAAAGCATTGACTGAGCCATTTTTCATCCTTAAATGCAGGCATTAAGTTACATGTTCACGTTCTGCTGCCACAAGTCGGTTTCTCCGGTGTACTGACAATAAAATGCTAAGTAAGTATTGGTAATAATATTAATAAAAACAACAAGATTTGGGTTTGTTCGTTTAATATGATGAACGTTAACCAGTAAGCTTCAATAATCAACTCCAGCTCAACAAACCATATTGCAAAATCTACGTTAACGTTATTTCTGGAACCAACGGGAAACCCTCATAGTTATCTCAAACACATTGATAAGAGTAAAGGGGTGAACTGGGACTTGTAAAGAAATGAATCCCCCCTCCTATCGTTCTCTGTCATGTTGCTACAAAATATAATCTTATCTGTTTTATTGAGAGAAAATACTTCCTCTAGCCCCTATAGCTGCCTGTTTTAGATGCTATTGTAAAGTAATATATTTTCTAAGCTAATTCTGATTCTTAACAGATCTGTTAAGAGGTCAGTTCGTTCTGTTAAGAACTCAGGCACTCAGGAGGTAGGACCCAATTGCACTACCCGGGAGACAGAGGTAAAGTATTGGTAAGATACTTTATTTTTCCAAAAAACAGCAAGATGAACAAAAAATGGTCACTAACTAATCTCAGGATGAGATGACAACAAATGAGAACAAAAGGAAAATCGCTCACGTAGTGAGGAACAAAACTTTTCAAGAGCACAGAGAGCATAGACCTGACCATGGCAAGAGACAAGACAAACTGACACTGAACACTGGGAGACAGGGGAATTTAAACACATGACAACAAGACACAGGTGAAAACAATCAGGGGTGGGGCTTGTGATGATGAGCACAGGAGACACACAAGGGGTACAGGTGAACACAATCAGACAATTAGACACACCAGGGAAACTAACAACAGGGAGGAAAACACAGGGAGAAGGACCAGACAATATACAAGGAGGAAAACATGACAGGGAGAACAGCAAAACACCCATAACAAGACATACAAAACTAAAAACGTGACATAACACAAGAATCGTGAAAAACACTAAAAAAAAAGGTTTTTCGGATTTCATAATTGCATTAACACCATATCCCTACATGCATTGCGGCTAAAACATCCAATCAGCGAGCTTAAACCATAGCTGAGGATCTTGGGTAATCAGTTCAGTGGCTGTGTATTGCAATGATGCTCGAAATGTCCTACGTCTGTTTCCGGTTATTTTTATTTTGAAATTCAGTTCCTGACGGACGCCAAAAAAGCCCAAGATTATGGAATCAAACAAATAAATAAAAACAAGGATAATTGTGTGTTATTGGTGAGTAAATAACAGTGTGTTATATAGAAAATAATAACAAATTAGAAGGAAAAAAAGATTTTAAAAAATACAGATTTCAGTATTCTGAGGCTCTGAGCCCCATTTCTTAGATTTGTACAGCCTCTCTGTCAATTATTATTATCCTTACTGTGAGAAAGGAACTAGATTATCTGAAAAGATTACTTATTTTTTTAAAACAACACTGTGGACACCTTTCAGAGACATAGTTGCAGGTAAAAACTCAAAGACTCCCCTCTGTGTTCATAAGTGCAGCAGGGTGGGAGGGGGGTAGTGTGAGGGGGGTGTGTGAGGAGGTTTGTGAGGGTTTAGGGCTCTGACGTAGGTGCAGCAGGGTGGGTCTTATCACCCCTAATTGAGCAACATCCTTATAGAGGGCATTACAACCACAACAGGTGACCGAAACAAGTCATATTATCATCATTGACTATAATGGCTTACTAGGGGGATACTACAACAGGTGTCACAACAAAGGGGCAATAGTCTCATCACCCCCTATTAAGCAACGTCCTTTATGAGGAGGGCAATAAAACAATAAACAGCTAAACAAGTCATACTATCATCATTGACTATAATGGTTTCATCGTTGACTATAATGACCTACTAAGGACACTATGACAGGTTTTCGAATCAAAGGGGCAATAAAGTCTTATCACCCACTATTGAGCAACATCCTTTATGAGGGGGCAATAAAACAATAAACAAACAAGTCATAAAAGATAAGATGGTCAAAGGTCAGAGATGTCAGAGTGACAGGTGCCACATCAAAGGGAGGTGGGACTAAGGTTTATGGGGGTCATAAATCATTTTCTTATCAGGTACTTAATCTCATTTTGAGCAAAACAGTGGTCTTTGAACTAATGTCAATGTTTGTAGTTGACAATTGTTCTCAGATAGCCCGTATCTATGCAGAGGTTAACTGGTAAAAGCTACAGTTTGTGTGTCTTATTTTGATGGAAATCTTATTGAGAGATTGTTTGGCAATGTGTGTTTAAGGAAAAGCACAATACACTTTAGATACGAATTGGACATAATCTCTGTGAAGTTAGTGGATTGTAGAATAAGCCTTGAGTTTGGCATTTGGACTATTGACATGTCGTTTTTTTGGAAGCAGATATGACACGAGAGGCTGAAGCTAAGTATAACCCAACACTGAAACAAGACATTTTACAATACACCTTAATTAACTAAATACAACAGTGTAAAAGGGATTAAGGTATAAGGAGAGAAAGCCATGCACGTCCTTTATTGTACTGTAAATGGGACCATAGATTACTGAAGGTACATCTTGCTGTATATTAAAAATGTGTTTTTAAACTACAAACTCGTTAGGAAAATCTTTAAAACAAATTGAGATAATGAACATTTAATAGACTTTTGTTAGCTTATCTTTTCAAAACCAAGGGTTGCCACTTAATTTGCCCTCAAGCTAATGCAATGTTGTGAAACGTTTCTGTTTATTGACATTAGCTGTTTGACTGTGGTTTATATATCTTTTTTTATGGAAATGTCACCCCTGAAACGCCCGGGTAGTTGGGTTGAGCTTAGCCCTGGCCCCAGGACACGACACCCTACAGATCTCCGTTACACACCAGAGGACCACCAGAGTCACCCTGAGCAGGAGAGAGACATCACTTTATTCCCTTCACCTCGTTCAATATAACCTCATTGTATGTGCCGTGTAATTGTTTGAAAATACCTGACAAGCATCCATGCCTCCCTCCAGGTATCCAGCGCACACCATGCGGTCAGTGATCAGGCCGGGGTAGGAGCCATCGCAGTCCTTGTGAGAAAGGATGGGGACTTCCACACACTGGAGGTACAATGGGTTGAACACTGCAGATAAGAGCGAGATAAAATGATTAGGAGGGACACAAAAAACACCCCAATTCAGCCTTATATCATGTGTTAAAATGCCCCTGCGTTTTCTCCTCCCTCCCCACCTGTGTCTTGTTCATGTGATTAGTGTTGTGTGCATTTCAGTTCTGTTTTTTCTATCTGTCATGGTGAGATTCTTAACGTTGTTGGAAGGGTTTACGTTCTGAGTGACTTTATGGTTTGCCTTGCCTTAGTTTTGACTTTGTTTGCCTGGCCTAGTTCTGGAAATAAAGGATTCCTGCTTTCAAACCTATTTTCTGCATTTGGGTCCTGCGTACCTTGCCCTCCAGCCGTAAGACCTTGGTCCACATTTTAAATAAGGTGCACAGATGATATAACCACGGGGTGTTGCGCTACGATTGGGCCGAAGTGGGCAAACACAAAATGAGGAGTGTGATAAGAAAGTACATTTGGTTTGAAACTGAGTGCCAAGACTGTGAGGACACAGATTGGGTCAAGAGAAATAGGGGGGAGAGAAGAGGAGGAGGCGGGGGGGGGGCGGTCAGGTGAGGGGGACGAGCACTGTGGGGCTGCTGGGATATAAATTTGAGCCGAGGTGTGTGTCCAGGAGTCTTCTGAACATTCACCTGACACCATGAAACTCCTGGCTCTGCTGCTGCTGATCGGAGCTGCTGGTAAATACACAGTAATACAATAGTGTTCATTTTGTCAGCTATTTTATTATTTAGTCTTACTCTTAGTCCTGTATCAAATGTCCTTGTTAGTTTTAGTCATATTTAGTCACCTTCATTCTGTTTTTATTTAGTCAAGTTTTAGTCGACTAAAATTCTGAGCATTTTAGTCTTATTTTAGTCAAAGAAAACAGTAACTATTTTAGTCAAGATTTAGTCGAAGATTTAAAAGTCTGAGCATTTTAGTCTACTTTTTGTTAATGAAAACTGTTGACATTTGAGTCTTTTTTAGTCATCAGATTATATAGAAAACTTCAGTCAAACTAGTCCAGCCAAAACCAACAATTTGTCATTTTAGTCAAACTTATTTCCCAATAAGATTATATTTTATCCTTATTTGATGAAAAACACAGGTTGAATGATTAAGAATGCAGCTTTGCAGAGATTATCTGGTCAGGTTTGTGGTGCTTTTACGAGCTGTGTTATGGCCACAATGCTTCCCTTCTGATAAAACAATGCATTCACTTTTTTTCTCCGCCTCATTGTAGCAATAATGGGCCCAAAAATTGCCTTGTTTCTTTCTCCCAAGCAGTGGTGGCGTTAGACTTTTTCATTTTCAGTCATTTTGAAGGACAGGATCGTAACATTTCGGTCATAATCCATTATTACCCGTCGGGTCTGTACACAACTCTTCACTCACTTGCGCTGAGGGGTGGGGGGGATATTAGACAGCATGATATGATGATCTCCGCGCTACGGGTTCTGCATGTATGCAGTGAGATGTCATATCCAAGGATTAGAGACGGTTGGATGCTGCTGTTTTGCACATTGCAATACATTTATTTATTATTATTTATTTTGTTATGATTAGAGACGGTTGGATGCTGCTGTTTTGAGTATTGCAATATATTTATTTTCACTATGTTATTTATTTATGACTATCTTTAGGCTCAGCAAAGATTTGATATCAGCTGTTGCTGACTTTTTAGTTAATACTGAAATAGATCCCTGCTGGCTTTTTCTTTAAATACAATTTAAAAATGTCGATACAGTAGCTGTCCTTTTTTTAAATGTCTATGCTAAAGTTTTTATAGGTGTTGCTATCTGCTTTGTGTAGCGTGGTTCTACAAGCAAGTCAGTGCATTCATTCGGTGGTATCAGAGAGTTACAAGGGTCTATAAATGCAATGAAAACAATTGGCCACAGCAAATCATTTATATTAAAATGTAATTTTTACTTTTGAATACTTCATTACAAAGAATGTATTGAATAATTTAATTAATATATGTGTACACATATAAATCATTTGTCAAAACAGGGCTAAATTTGATTACATTCTAAAATGTATATGTGCTCAAATGAAGAGCCGTTTGGGAGCCGAAAGAGCCGGCTCTTCTTAGTGAGCCGAGCCAAATGTTCCGGCTCACTAAAAAGAGACGGAATTACCATCACTACACACAACTGCTGACCAGCCGCAGCACCGGCAATTTAACTGCTGGGAGAAAAACTGACTATCAGATGTAACGTTATCTTTGATAATATTTCGTCTCCTCCTCCCTACGAAAGTAAAGAGAGATTTTGGCAACGTTTTTGTTAGTAAACTACATTGTCGTCTCGTCACTTTTCGTCAACGATATTGCATGTAGATTTCGTTACAGTTATTGTTTACTGACGTCGGTACCGTCTCGTCATCGTCTCGTCTTAGTCATGGAAAAAAAAGTTGTTGGAGTACATATTTCGTCATAGTTTTAGTCAACGCAATTAACACTATAATACACACATTCACAAAGATACACACACAAACAAACAGTAAACAGTATAGAAAACATACTGTATTGTAAGATATTGAATAAAAAAGATGAATGGTTGTGGTTGAGGATAACTTTAAAACACAAATCTATCTCTTTCTCTGTTTGTGTGTGTGTGAAACAGCTGTAACAGCAGCACCAGCTGCAACAGCTGCAACACCTGCAACAGCTGCAACACCTGCATTGCATTTTGCTGCAACAGCGGCAACCCCTGCAACAGCTGCAACACCTGCATGTATTTTTGCTGCCACAGCTGCAACACCTGCAACAGCTGCAACACCTGCATTGGTTTTTGCAGCAACAGCTGCAACAGCGGCAACCCCTGCAACACCTGCATTGATTTTTGCTGCTACAGCTGCAACAGCGGCAACCCCTGCAACACCTGCATTGATTTTTGCTGCTACAGCTGCAACAGCGGCAACCCCTGCAACCCCTGCATTGAATTTTGCTGCAACAGCGGCAACCCCTGCAACAGCTGCAACACCTGCATTGATTTTTGCTGCCACAGCTGCAACACCTGCAACAGCGGCAACACCTGCATTTAATTTTGCTGCAACAGCGGCAACAGCAGCAACCCCTGCAACAGCTGCATTGAATTTTGCTGCAACAGCGGCAACCCCTGCAACAGCTGCAACACCTGCATTGAATTTTGCTGCAACAGCGGCAACACCTGCAACAGCGGCAACACCTGCATTGATTTTTGCAGCAACAGCTGCAACAGCAGCAACCCCTGCAACAGCTGCATTGAATTTTGCTGCAACAGCGGCAACCCCTGCAACAGCGGCAACCCCTGCAACAGCTGCATTGAATTTTGCTGCAACAGCGGCAACCCCTGCAACAGCTGCAACACCTGCATTGAATTTTGCTGCAACAGCGGCAACACCTGCAACAGCGGCAACACCTGCATTGATTTTTGCAGCAACAGCTGCAACAGCAGCAACCCCTGCAACAGCTGCATTGAATTTTGCTGCAACAGCGGCAACCCCTGCAACAGCGGCAACCCCTGCAACAGCTGCATTGAATTTTGCCGCAACAGCGGCAACCCCTGCAACAGCGGCAACACCTGCATTGATTTTTGCAGCAACAGCTGCAACAGCTGCAACAGCGGCAACCCCTGCAACAGCTGCATTGAATTTTGCTGCAACAGCGGCAACCCCTGCAACAGCGGCAACCCCTGCAACAGCTGCATTGAATTTTGCCGCCACAGCGGCAACCCCTGCAACAGCGGCAACCCCTGCAACAGCTGCATTGAATTTTGCCGCAACAGCGGCAACCCCTGCAACAGCGGCAACACCTGCATTGATTTTTGCAGCAACAGCTGCAACAGCGGCAACCCCTGCAACAGCTGCATTGAATTTTGCTGCAACAGCGGCAACCCCTGCAACAGCTGCAACACCTGCATTGATTTTTGCTGCCACAGCTGCAACACCTGCAACAGCGGCAACACCTGCATTTAATTTTGCTGCAACAGCGGCAACAGCGGCAACCCCTGCAACAGCTGCATTGAATTTTGCTGCAACAGCGGCAACCCCTGCAACAGCTGCAACACCTGCATTGCATTTTGCTGCAACAGCGGCAACACCTGCAACAGCGGCAACACCTGCATTGATTTTTGCAGCAACAGCTGCAACAGCAGCAACCCCTGCAACAGCTGCATTGAATCTTGCTGCAACAGCGGCAACCCCTGCAACAGCGGCAACCCCTGCAACAGCTGCATTGAATTTTGCCGCAACAGCGGCAACCCCTGCAACAGCGGCAACACCTGCATTGATTTTTGCAGCAACAGCTGCAACAGCGGCAACCCCTGCAACAGCTGCATTGAATTTTGCTGCAACAGCGGCAACCCCTGCAACAGCTGCAACACCTGCATTGAATTTTGCAGCAACAGCTGCAACAGCAGCAACCCCTGCAACAGCTGCATTGAATTTTGCTGCAACAGCGGCAACCCCTGCAACAGCGGCAACCCCTGCAACAGCTGCATTGAATTTTGCCGCAACAGCGGCAACCCCTGCAACAGCGGCAACACCTGCATTGATTTTTGCAGCAACAGCTGCAACAGCTGCAACAGCGGCAACCCCTGCAACAGCTGCATTGAATTTTGTGGCAACACCTGCAACAGCGGCAACCCCTGCAACAGCTGCATTGAATTTTGCTGCAACAGCGGCAACCCCTGCAACAGCGGCAACCCCTGCAACAGCTGCATTGAATTTTGCCGCAACAGCGGCAACCCCTGCAACAGCGGCAACACCTGCATTGATTTTTGCAGCAACAGCTGCAACAGCGGCAACCCCTGCAACAGCTGCATTGAATTTTGCTGCAACAGCAGCAACCCCTGCAACAGCGGCAACCCCTGCAACAGCTGCATTGAATTTTGCCGCAACAGCGGCAACCCCTGCAACAGCGGCAACACCTGCATTGATTTTTGCAGCAACAGCTGCAACAGCTGCAACAGCGGCAACCCCTGCAACAGCTGCATTGAATTTTG